GGTGTACTCATAGTCGTGCATGCCGTAGTCATTCTGTGCTTTGAATCTTTGAATAGTACTGGTGCCCGGCTTACACCCCGTCAGTACCCTCGTTGTTTTTTGTGTTTGGGTTTTGTCAGCGCGATGGATATCGAGGAGCGGATCGAGATCCGCGCCGATCTGATCTACACAGGCATCCTCGATGCCGTCGAGCGCCTCAAGAACCAGTCCACCGACGTTTTCATGGAAGAGGTGGGTGTCCGGCCTTGGTTGTTGGCTGTTGTTGTTGTTGTTGTGGTCGTCGTCATCGTGATGGTGATCCTGAGTTTCCACAGCCGTCTTGAGGCAGGATGAAAGATCTTGGGGAAGGGTGAAAGATCTCGGGGTGGGATCAAAGACCTTGAGGTAGGAGCAAAGACTTTGAGGTAGGAGCAAAGATCTTGGGGTAGGAGAGAAGAAGTTCTTACCGCTCTACCACCTTCCTTGGTATCCAGAAACATACGTAAGAGTAGCTGATCCCGGTGGACGCGGGAAAAAGTGGAAATCCCTCTTTCGAAAGACGAAAGGGGAACACTTGTCAGGAAGTCAGGTGTTTTTGGTTTGCCCTTTTTTTCCGGACCGTTTAGGGGGTAAAATCCAGATTGGCTGTATGTCGTCGTTTTGCTTGTGTTTTGGACCAACTCTGTGACGCGACCACCGTACTTCCGTCTGTGTCCGTGGCACCAACTACGAATGCGCGTGCGGCGTTCTTTTTGTTATTTTGTTTGCGGTCTTTTTTTTTTTCCACTTGTCTCTCCTTCTCTGTCTCTCTTGGCACGTACATCTGCGGTTTTTGCTGTGAAACTCTTTCTCTTTTGTGTTTTCTTTCCTCCTCCTCTAATTCTCGCCAATCCTCCCGGCCGCTCGTTATGTTTGAAAGGGAGACGAAGCCCTTTCCGAAGACCGCATCGAGCTGGACAACCAGCTGCACGTGTTCGAGGCGGTGATGAACAAGGACATCGCAGAGGTGACCTTGTTGACTGGCTGACACACCGACTGAGACCACCTCTGACTCTCGCCTTTGTCGTAGCCTGTGGGAAAGAAGGGGGGCCGCGAGTGAGGTCGGTCGCCCCCCCCCCCCCCCCC